GCGGACCACGTGTCAGGGGCAGAAAAATGGCCGCGGACCACGTGTCAGGGGCAGAAAATGGCCACAGACCACGTGTCAGGGTCAGAAAATGGCTGCGGACCACATGTCAGGGGCGGAAAAATGGCTGTAGACCACGTGTCAGGGGCGAAAAATGGCCACAGACCATGTGTCAGGGGTGGAAAAATGGCCGTGGACTGTGTCACGGGAGGGAAAATGGCCGCGTATCCTGTTCGTACCCCGAGGCGGAGTTCGCAAACCGAGGTAAATTTTTGCGGCCGGAGCTGGGCGTAAACCGAAAAGTTTGTTAACAGAGGCGTTCGTAACCCGAGGTACCACTGTACCTATATCTAAATCTATATCTATCTATTGAATCTAGATTCAATTTAAGAACACTTTAGGCTATGCCAGGACTGTCCCCAGCAAACTGCAATCATACCAAATGATACGTACATGGTGATGGCATCATGCTGCCCTTAGATTCTTGCATCCTTGATGTCTGATACAAGTACAAAAGTTATGGCATTTGCATGATGACATCACACATGTGTCATCATTTGCCCCTCCTGCTGATATAGATGGGCTATGAACATCCATCAACTTGCAACTGATGTAGACTTGCCTAGGATTACATTGTTAGACATTTTTAAGTCAGCACACCATTCTATTACAATTTTCTCCAAACTGCATTCCCAAGATGGGTTGAACTACATCTCCCAGAATGACCAGCTAACTTGGCTATTGACCTGCTGACTGGGCAATCTGTCTTGTAGTTCCAACACAGTTAAAGGACACCAGATTGAGTGTAGCACTGCATTCACCAAACAGCCCATTCCAAAATTTCCCAGGAATGTTGACAAACACACTAAACTTTCAAAGGAGCAAAAGGCAATCCCTACTTAAATGTCAAAGTCATCTTCAAACAAGAGGATGCCACCTAATCTGGGGTTTGTGTTTATGAAAAGGAAACATCCAATTCATAAATTACTTATAGAATACAGAAAAAAAATCAAAATTTGCATATCAAAATAAATGTACATGCTAAGATGACTGGGTTTCCTAAAGCAAATATGAAACAGCTCAGAATTAATTTTTTCCACACTAAGCCTTTCTGAATTAGTGATTTCTAATGTCATCTACTTATACTCATTCTGTGAGAAATCAAACATTTTAATGTTTATGTTCCACTCACAGTTGACATCCTATGTATTTATTTTAACATTAAAATGCCGGTTCTTTTATAGTTAAATTTAAAAGATAAAGGGTCTGTAGATAGTACCTTCTAACTGCCAATCATAATTTTACAACTTTTTTTACTTAATATTTTGTGTAAATATCAATTATGGATTTTCTAGGTTGGCTTTGGTTTACCTCCAATATTTAATCCTTATGTATAAAAGAAGCCTGCCCACACATTTTACAAATATGTACAACTTTTGCATCATGGCAAAAACATTTTGCTATGTTTATTTTGGCTATTAATTGATCTCTGCCTTGGCTGATCTCAAATAAGCTAACCAGGGTTGGACCTGGTTATTATTTGAATGGGAATTTCGCATGAAATCCCAAGGCTATAAACTAAATTAGCAACTAAAACAAAATTCAGAAGAAGGCAACAGCCAACTATTTCCATATTGTTGCCAAGAAAAAAAAAATGGGTGTGTCTGTAGTACCAGGAGTCAAGCTCCATTCAGGAGAAATTTTATTTATATATCACTCTGCTTAAAAAAAAGAGAGGAAATTGAATTACTTGGAGGGAAAAGAAATCCATAGTTAAGCTGAGGGTGATTTTTGTAAAATGAACAAGTCTGACTGCTGTTTAAAGGAATACGATGGTCCGTGCGGAAGCAGCTTGAGGTAACATCTGCAGAGGCATTCCAGCTGTCCTAATTAACAAAACAAAAATATCAGTGGTTGTGTATATGTATTGTATAAAAGATAAATCTCTCCCTATTCTTTTTAATAACATACAATAATTTAATTATATTATGAAAGTGTGTGTGTGTGTTTTAAATTCTATTAAGTTTATATATATCTCAAGCTAGGTTTGAGTGGTTGAGAAGAGGACTTCTGAAGACCTCTCTATTCACAAGCTTTATCATTTTACAAATCCACTATATTTTCCCATACCGAGGGGATACCAATGTAGCCCTAGTTTTGGACTGTGTCACTTCCAAGCTTCAGACATTGGTTCCCCCCCCCCCCCCCAGTTCATACTATGCTCTCATTATCAGGCAGAGCTTATGTAAGACAGTTGGCCTTCAGGAGCTGTGAAATCCAAATGCTCAAACTGGTGTGTGTATTGGCCTTTATTTAGCAAAAGACCGGGGTAGCAATATGTATGGTTTTAGGAGGCAACAGGACATGCCGATTGCATGAACTTCAACAAATTCTACTTCTAACCTATTCAGAGACTCTGTATTTGTGCACATGTTGGTGTAAGCTATGCAGCTATCTGGATTCAAAGGACTAAATGCACTTCAGAGCTCATACAAGGGTTCAGACAGCACTAGTCAGGAAGACCTTAAACCAAATGTGCCTTTTGCCAAGATTACACATCTTTTCCTAAAAGACCAGGAAAAGATGCAGCTGCTTTTAAAGCGTTCCCGAGAAGTGCAACATGTGTAGTCACACATCCTTCCAATGACATTCTGTCCTTCAAGTCTGGATCCCTGCACAGCATGCCTGCGTTCCCACATTGAGAAATTATGTAAAGGGGTAGGGATTCAGTCCTTCTGAATAAGGGACACAATACACAATAACTCTCCAAAACTTTGTGTAAGGAGAGAAGCTAGCAAAGGAAAGATCAAGATCAACAATGGGCCTGATTTGGCTGGAAGATGATGCAAGTTTAGAAAAAAAATCCCCCAGTGCATCCCTAAGGAAGAGGCAGTTGGGCTGCAGCCTGGAATGTGCTCCATCCTCCCTTCCAGTCACACAACCCAGAGAGAAGAATATACTGTATAGTCACCTTGTGATTCTGCTACACAAATACATGCAAACCTATGATCTCAGCTGGTAAAGAGTTCAGAAAAAAAAATCCAGTAGCAAAGCTCCATGTGCTTTCTCTTATTTTACCTCAACCACTGCTGAAAACGTTATTGTTATTTAAAAATAATAATAATAAATTATTTAAAAATGATTTATCTCCTTAGTCTTTGTTCCCAACTTAAACAAAGTCCATCTCTGGCTTGCCACCCTTGTTTTTCCTGCCACTTACTGCTGTATGTCTTTTTCCTTCAAATGAAAACTGAATTACCAGCACACTTACGGGCTTGTTAACAGAATAGCTACTCCACAGGGGCATCTTGATGATCTGGCTAAATCCGCTGACATAATGATGGTTGTGAAGAAGGCAAAACTTCTGCTTCTTTTGGAGTACACGGGGCCTCCCAAATGGCAAGCTGGATTTTTCTATCTTCTTTACTACAGAAGGCAAAAGGACACTAGGTCTGCTACTGTATCATAATTTCCCAGTCAAGGCTTTCTGCTTAATTTACCCATTTCCCGAGAGCAGTAACAATACTTACTTTCTGAAGTAGTGAGATCTACCTGTGGTTGAATTGGTGGTAAGCCCTATATGTAAGGGAAACCAGAAGATGAGGTCATTTGTATGCAGCATCAGACAGAAGAAACACTTAAAAAGTTACGGGGAAAAAAAATCAGGAACATCTACAGTAACTGCAATGTTGCCAAAATGATGATATGTAGGAGGCAGTATCATCACATGAATGCCACCCTTATGCAATTATATCAGCCACAACATTTCCCTGATGACATTGTCACACATGTTTTGTCATTTGTTCTCCTTGCTACTCCCCACCTCCTGGACACCCATGCATGATTTTTATCTCTTTTGCTTTCAAATTTGAATATATATTAATGTAACTAAAATCTTCCTTAAAAATATGAAAATATGTGCACAGTAGAAGTCCCATTTATAACTCTATTCAAAATCTCTAGAATCAAAGTCAAGTTATAATGAGGCTTTGTTGATACATAGAATTATTTTCACATTTAATACTTGAGAGAGATGACCCCCTCCTCTTCGTCCCATTTTGCTGGAAATCAACCACATTTGTTCCTCTACCAAATTAGAACTGAGTCACAAATGGTAGCTGCACTAAGAGCTGGGGCCCATAAGAAAAAGGAAGGTTTGACCCTGTCTTCATCTCACAGTCACTTTAGTGTCCCCCAGCATTCCAAGCCCAGGCATCCACAGGAAGACTAGGAGTGTCAGGATCTACGCAAACCAGATTCTTTGATTGTTTATATGCTTTAATTACTAATTATATTTTTGCTTTAATTGGTAAACATAAATCAATAGAGTAATGCTGGGAATGTTATTCTAACCGTTTGCTTGACCTGCC